AGGCCAATGTATATATGGCCTCTAATAACTTCTCAGGGACTTATATTTTAACTGGAACAAGTCGAGTTTGCTTGAAGTATTCCTCAGGGCGGTGGGGTAGCCTAGTGGTTAAAGCGTTCGCTCGTCACGCCGAAGACCCGGGTTCGAATCCCCACATGGGTACAACATGTGAAGCCCATTTCTGGTGTCCCCCGCCGTGATGTTGCTGGAATATTGCTAAAAGCGGCGTAAAACCAAACTCAGTCCGTGAAGTATTCCTCAATCATCGAGCGTTATCCAAGCGTTGCTATTCCCACAACGAGGCATATATTACCGTACTATTATACAGTTCACATGTTCGTTCAGCAGATACGTATTCGCGGTTTTAGCAGCGATGTTATGTGTACAAACATAATTCTATTGTGGCGATTATGTCACGTGTTACCGCAGGTCTGCCCGCCCTTAGTTTATGGCTCGATGGCTTCCTCGAGTTGATCAACCGATAAACCTTGCAACTTAGGGTATATGTCGCTCTTTCACAAACCCACTTTTTCCATACATTTTAAGGCCTTAACATTTCCATTGACACAGTAACAGGTTTTGTCATTTCTTTATATACAATACCAAAACATATAACACATAGATCATTTATACTGTTAGAAGTTGAACCTGTAGCGTGTTTATCATCCAGTGTTTATCAGAGACCCGTTTGTACATACGGAGTTATCAATATCATTAAAATCAGATCTTGTTCTCTGATTACCAAGCTAATGATTCTCAGACAACAGTAGTTTCGTTTACAGGAGGAGTGAGTGAGTTTAGTTTTACACCGCACCGCAATATTACAGCTATATGGCGGCGGTCTGTAAATAATCGAAGCTGGACCAGACAAGCCAGTGATCAACAGCACGAGCATTGATCTGCGCAATTGGGAACCGATGACATGTGTCAACCAAGTCAGCGAGCCTGACCACCCGATCCCGTTAGTCGCCGCTTACAAGCAGGGGTTACTGTCAATATTCTAACCCGGACCTTCACGGGTCGTTTACAGGAGGAAGTACGACCATTACCCAGCGGGGCTGAATGCAGAACTACGGCACTAGATTGGCAACAAGTGAACAACTAATGGTACCGCGCCCTTCTGTGCACATGAGTGATGACTGGATCTTACGCCTCCCCAGACAATCTGCTTCCAAAATATCTCGCTTATGAGGCGATAGACAATTTCACATACATCAACGTACAAGGTCTTAGTCCGAGAGATGTAGCCATACTCAAATACTCTTTGTAAATCTCTCTTATATACGGGGGCGGATGGATAGCCTAGTGGTAAAACCACACTCACTCACTCCAGTACAGATAGACCGCCATGACAGTGGGAATATACTGTTGCGTACAACAACACTCACTCGCTAACGGGTGGTGGGGTAGCCTAGTGGTTAAAGCATTGGCTCGTCACGCCGAAGACCCGGGTTCGAATCCCCACATGGGTAAAATGTGTGAAGCCCACACCGTATTGTTGCTGGAATATTGCTAAAAGCGGCGTAAAAACCAAACTCAGTCAGTCACTCGCTAACAGCTGTTGTCGACAGGTGACACACATTTCTTGTGTTTGCATTTTTCTATGTGGAGGAAATATTTGATTGTGTCGTGTTTCAGTTATTTATCATTGATAATAGGGAAGCAGAGGCAGACCCGGAAATCATTTCGGCTCGGCGACAGGTCATGTTTCTACTGAACGACGACATCATATACGTATCTCTCTCATTTAAAGCCCCTATAGCCATATATTATACCTGTACATACAACACATTCTTTTATATTTAAGGTAAACATATTATAAATAAATAAAAGATTAGACACTGGGGTCACTCCTCCGCTGGGGCGCGGTGGGGTAGCGTAGTGGATAAAGTGTTCGCTCGTCACGCCGAAGGCCCAGGTTCGATTCCCAACATGAGTAGCCCATTTCTGGTTTCTTGTGTTCACCGCTGTGATTTTGATGGAATATTGCTAAAAGGGGAGTAAAAACATACTCGCTCACTCACTCTTCGCTGGAAGAAGGCCACATTTATAGAACTTTACTGAATAGTAAGGTAAGATAAGACTCTACTAACCCATAGAGACTTCATATTGCACAGCCGTCAAACAGTAATAAAATACATTTGTACGAAAAAGCTAGTATAAAACAAGAGTGAGTGAGTTTAGTTTTACGCCGCACTCAGCAATATTCCAGCTATATATGGCGGCGGTCTGTAAATAATCGAGTCTGTACCAAACAATCAAGTGATCAACAGCATGAGCATTGATCTGCGCAACTAGGAACTGATGGCATGTGTCAACCAAGTCAGCGAGCCTGACCACTCGATCCCATTAGTCGCCTCTTACGACAAGCATGGGTTACTGAAGATCAATAGTCTAACCCGGACCTTCACGGGTCGTATAAAACAAGAAACTACAGACTAAGAAAATAGGTCACTATCTAATATGCCGACAGGTAAGATTGGACATTAACACATTGATTACAAGGTATACCATTACACAACGCTATATATAACTGCAATAATATCGAACGCCAAACCCCATTGCTTCTCGCATTACCGATGTTGCGGTTCACATCACACCCTTCCTTTTCCAAACTTTAATCGCATTTAGTACACACGTCTATAGACTGCAGCGATTCAGTGTATAAGTCCAGACTTATGCGGGTTTATAGCCCACTGAACTGTCGGATACCTGAGTTTAAAAGTGAATCAGTGTAACAACAATTGAAGTACCCTCTTTTTTACGCCTTTGTTATATATAATCGAACCCGACCTTCCGAACTCCAGCCAGACACCCTATCGACTGGGCCACGTAAACACGATCACACGTTAGTATAGAAGTTCTACCTACAGCAATTTGTTGCAGGTAAGAAATATTTCTTAATTATTAATTATTACTGATCTAGAGGCTGTTAATAATTAGATATTATTGATGAAACATCTTTTTCTCGTTTATGGCCACTTATTTTGGTCCCACGGGCGGTGGGGTAGCCTAGAGGTTAAAGCGTTCGCTCGTCAGGCCGACGACCCGGGTCGATTCCCCACATGGTAACAATGTGTGAAGCCCATTTCTGGTGTGCCCCTCTGTGATGTTGATGGAATATTGCTAAAGGCGGTGTAAAACCATACTCACTCACTATTTTGGTCCCAAGCTATTTTGAAAAAAGGGAGGTAATTATGTTCGGGTACGTTGCAACATGATCATGACACTTTCCCTGATGAAAACTAAACCGGACTTGCCTGTTCATCGGTTATTGATCATCTCCAATATACAGGTTCCAATAAACATTACGTTCCTCCAACACAGAAATACCAAGTTTTGTTGGATTCTTTTTACGTAATTGAAAACTGTAAGAACTGGGGTTTTTTTTACATTTAGGCAAGAAGTTTATGGATGTCAACTACTTTATTGTGATAGACACGACGTTTTCGGAGTATATTCATTCACCTGATGAAAGAGTAAGACGTCGTGTCTATCACAATAAAAAAGTTGACATCCCAAAAATTATTGTATTTATGTGTATCACTAAATGCCATTCAAAGAGTCTGTATTTACATTTGATAATGTCTATCAATCAGTCATTAGTCCAAAACAGTTTGCAAAACGGATTCCGCAGCTGGGTAGTTTAAGTAAAAATAAATTGGTTCAGTGAGGACTGGGTAAGAAAAACAATATTTGAAATGTTGCAATATATTTATTTTATTGATTTTTTATACATAAGATGTCTAAAGTACCAATCAGCAGTTGTGCAGTATGCGGAAACAATCAAGTGTCAGACGCTTGAATAGATTATATATTCTATCAAAAATGATTCTTCTCGTTCCACAAGTTTTAAGCGAACCACATGGAGTATCACACGCACGCACACACACCCCAGCTAGGTTCATTTGTACTCCTTTTCATTTTAATTGTAGTGTGTTTAATTCCATCGAGAATATATATATATATCTTCAACCCACTAAGATATAGTTTAAACACAGGCCTTATTTGTGATCATTTGCACCAGCTGGGACCTTATCAACGTTAGTCGTGTGGGTTGTTTTCAAACAGCAATATTTATCGATATCCAGTGCATCAATATCCCATCTGCTTTCACCTCTGAAGCTCTTGTTCTCGCATAGCAAAGCAATATCAATACGTACGTGTAACCTATAAGTACAAACATCACAAATAAAGGTGGAAGTTAGCAGACTGTATATGTTTCTAAATGAAAAATCAATAATATTTAGGACGATACATTAAATGATCAGTTTAGGCAGAACAAAATTTTAAAATTCAAATTATATAAATTTAGAATTCAAACAAATTATATCCCTCTCAATAACACTTTCAAAATTAAACTTTGAATATAAACAAAAAATACAACAAGCAAACGAATAAACCACAAAAATATGAGCACTGAGTGCCCAAAAAAACCGTTCACGGAAATATATTGATAAAACAACGATATTCTGTAAGGAATTAAATGTGCGTTGAATTAATTGAGGGAAATATATAAAGTACAGCGTAACATTGATCGTGGCTATAAATAAACATGCACGCGGGGATCAAACTTGTCATAAAATCCGTCTGACAAACTAACATGTCTAAACAACGACAAATCGTATCCCCTTACGATGACCCTGCTTGAGACATTACAATTCCAATTATGCTCGTCCCGTGCTAATCGATGCATTTTGCCGGGGTGCATCTTACGGTCACTGGGTCAAATACGATACTTACGTTCAATGTGACCCAGTTACCGCGCAGAAAAGGTCACCAAAGTGGGGCTCAGAACTTACACTACATTGACCCTTGACCTGTTGTCAAATTTAACCCGGCGTAGATTCAAGTCTGCTTTTTATTCTACGAACATAAATTCATTGATTAGTGCATACAATCAATGTAGCTGCAAGCTGTATAGTTCAATATGGGAACAGTGAAGCACGATAAATATAGTACATAGGGACTATTTCTTGTGGTGCGCAGTTAACGGTAAGGCGACCGCCATCATGGCCACTGTTATTTCCGCACACAAGTCGGCTTGAGACCTGTTCAGCTTCAACATGAATTGACAGTGGGATTTTGATATTCAAAATGGATTTTTTGGACCCGGTGTGAAAATCGGAATGAACTGACACAAAATCTGAGGTGATGTTGTGTGTACAGGGCTCGAAAGGGACAAAGCGCGAGCACCTGCCAAAACCGAAGAGGTGATATCATGTGAATATAGATCTATCGGTGCACTGTCGCGATAATTTTACATCGTTCCACCAACATTGACTTTTGAGTGTTCCGAAATTTCCAAGAATGGCGAATAAAATCAAAGAATGGGTCAGCAAAAACAAACGTCGGTACAAAGAAGATGGCTACGACCTGGACTTAACGTGTATCCTTTAACACATGTTGAACATTTCAAAATGTCAAACATCTCACACTCAGACGAGTTAAATGACACTTAAAGTAATTATTTTACATATGTCTTCAGTTTGACAATTGTTATTTGATGAACTGACATGAATGCATGTGTTCAACTATTTATATTCGTAATATTTTTGTACCACAGCTCCATATACTCCTAGCTGTCATATACTCAAGGCAGATGTTGATAACTAGATCAACAGGACAAAATCTTAACAGGAAGTAATTCTCTTGAACCTAGACTCCTGTTCTTGTGGTGGAGTGTACATGGTGTTGCATATTTTTAGGTTTCATGCAATTTTGCACAGTAAATATGTAATAATGTACATATTTATTAGTTAGCTGGGGATGTCAGATGCTTATATTTCTACCACATGTTGATGTTTTACAATTAACTGTCGGTTAGTCAAGTATACAATCAACTTCCTGCAACTTTATATGCATGTCGCTTGAGAGTGCACTCCAAAGGATTTTTATGGTTGTGTTTTCATATTACGAAAACATGACTGACATTGAATCAATTAACTGGTTTAGGGGAAGCCATGGTTGATAAGTTGATAATATTTGGTTAGATTTCAGTGGCATTTAGAAGCTGGAATGATAAGATATTCTTGAAAAGATGTTTTATTAGTGGCTTGGCTTTTATTAGTGGTTTGTTTATTACGAATACAGTTCTAATTTCTGAAACTACTACAGGTGCAACCCAGGTCAGCCAATTAGTAAATTATTTTGCAATTTACAATTTCTGAAAACCTGGACCAACGTCTTTTTTATCAAGTATAATTTAAGACATTTGCAGTCTCTCACCCAGGTTGCTTACAAGTCTTTTATGTTATGTATTGAAAAAGCTTTTAGGTATGTCAGCCATTGATCGGGATGTAGCTTAGCACAATTACAAGTTGTTTTATCACATGTAACATCATGTTATTCCAACACCCACCCACCTCACTGAAAAATTGATGTAATTTAAAGTGTTGAGTAGCAATGGTTAGGACATGGTATGAGACATATAAATAGAGTGGGTCCCATTACCCAATACCAGGCTTCACTTAACCATATGATATATGCACTATGATACATTGAAAAATGCAGGTTATTATTTATCTGTACATGCACCCAATGCATGTCAAAACATCCCATTTTTGTGACTTAATGAGAGAGTTTTCTCCACAACAATATGTGAACTTAGTACCAAATGTTATCATTTGCATACTAAATAATTATTCATAATCAGGGTTTGTGGAAATAACCCATTGCAATATTCAAGCTATATGACAAGTCCAGTGTGTTTTTCTGTCTTTGGCTGAAGCTGTGAGCAAATTAAATGGAATACGATGACATGTGTCAAACAAGTCAGTGAGCCTGACCGCATGATCCCATTAATCACCTGTTACAACAAGCATGGGTTGCTGGAAACCAATTCTAACCCGTATCTTCACTAGTGAAAGGGCAAGAGAATGTATGTGATGTATAAGTAATTCCATTCAAAGATATTTTCTCAGAGAAATTAGCATTTTTTAAATTAACCACTGTTTATATGTCAGTAGTTAGCATATCTTCAGCACAGTTAGTCAGCTGGATCAAGGTTGTGATAAAAATAATAATAATAATAATGAGTCTGTTTGTAATGAGCTAAACTCCATGCCCGAAGGTATGCTGATGTCAACATACACCAGGAGCAACCCTGGGTTAGTTAGGTTGTATAACGCCACACTCAGCAATATTCAAATTATATGATGGAGGTCAGTAAATAATCGAGACAGGACCGGACAATCCAGTGATCAACATGAGCATCAATCTACACAATATGATGACAGGGGTGGAAATAACTTTAAAATTGCTAGTGTATTCTGGTATAGTGGCACATGTAAAATCACTTGCCCTGATCAATTTTCCACTATACTGGCCATTTTCTTGTTGCTTTTTGAAATAATCACCATTATTACCATTGGAAAGTCAACTGGACACCGGTACAGCGTGATATACAAATTTGCTTGCCTGACAGAAAAAACACTGGACTCTGGACGTCGGGCAATGGGTTATTTCCACCCCTGTGATGATATGTGTCAACCAAGTTGGCGAGTCTGACCACCCATTAGTGGCTTCTTACGACAAGTATGGGTTACTGAAGACCAATTCTAACCCAGATCTTCACATGCAAGCTGGTTCATTGTAGTGGTGTATAATATCCTAAATTCCTGAGACTGAATACAGTGGTTCATTCTAGCATTGTTGGTATTGAATGATATACTGAACAACACCTGAATTTCGAAGGTTAAAGGCACTCATATATTGTTCCAGTTTAGGATGATATGCTGAATCCAAAAACAATCTAATGCCGAGGAGACGATATGAAATATTCTACAAAAACCAGACTTCGAAGACTGAATACTTTGGTTTAGTGTGGCAGTGTTGATACAGGATTTGTGCTGAAATAAAAGAACTGAATCCTATTGATGAATACTTTGGTTTATTGTGGTGGTTTTGCTATGGGATGTGTAATGAACATTAGAAAAACCTGAATCCCAAGGCAGTATACTTTGGATTATTGTAACAGTGTTGGCATAGGATGTGTACTGAACTTAGAAACCTCTATACTATTGATCAATACTCTGGTTTATTGTGGTGGTTTTGCTATGGGATGTGTAATGAACATTAGAAAAACCTGAATCCCAAGGCAGAATACTTTGGATTATTGTAACAGTGTTGGCATAGGATGTGTACTGAACTTAGAAACCTGTATACTATTGATGAAAACTCTGGTTTATTGTGGTGGTTTTGCTATGGGATGTGTAATGAACATTAGCAGTAAAACCTGATCAATACTCTGGTTTATTGTGGTGGTTTTGCTATGGGATGTGTAATGAACATTAGAAAAAATCCCAAGGCAGTATACTTTGGATTATTGTCAAACAATGTTGGCATGGATGTGTACTGAACTTAGAAACCTCTGTATACTATTGATCAATACTCTGGTTTATTGTGGTGGTTTTGCTATGGGATGTGAACATTAGAAAAATGAACATTAGAAAAACCTGAATACTCTTTAGAAAAGGCAGATCAATATACTTTGGTTTTGATTATTGTACTCCTAAAGCAGTGTTGTTGTATGGTGTTGTATAGTCAGTCAAGGCTAAATACACAGGTGTGATATAATGATGTCTGTACATGATGATATATTGCAGAAAACAACCTGAATTCAAACGCAGAGTGCACAGGTTTAGTATAGCAGTATTGGTACAGGAAATGTTCTGAACTAAAATCCTGAATTTCTTTGTTTGTATAAACTGGTTTGCCATCTCGATTTTGGTGTAGGATGATGTACCAAACGAGTGATTCTATTCTATTTTACACGGCACAGTTAACAAGTTTGGTTTCCAAATACACTCAGCATCTGATGAATATATTATATGTTGAGAGTGGATCCCTTTGTATTAGTGATCAGGGTCCAGATCCACAAAGCATTCGTAACATTACGACCTATCGTAACTCTACAGTTTACCATCAGCTTACGAAAGGGCGTAGCGCTACGAACACTTTGTATTCGGACCCAAAACTCCAAAGTGTCCAATCAGTCCATAAGCATCTCTTAACTTTGTGAGGCTGGACACAATTGAATGCACCGAACAGTAGTGAGAAAGATTTCAACACCTGGCATGTTTCACAATTTCCGCCTGATCAATTTTTACCATGCTGCAGCTCATTTCAGTATTTGTATGGAGGTACCACAGTGGCACTAACTAAGCCTATTATTGTTAGATATCATGCTTGAACTGTGTTGACAGGGTGCGATTTTTTATTACCTTTTTTGTGCAAATGCATACTTGATTACCTTTACGAGTTTAGCCTTGTGTAGCAAGCTTGAATCAGACCTTGGAATCAGATAACAGCTATAGATAACCTTATGTACTGGGTCTGATGTTACCAGGTTCAACCTACAGTGTACTAACAGAACTTTCATTGCAATAATACATTTTTAATGCATTTTACTTTTTAGTTGCACTTTCCATACTTGAATATTATGCTCAAAGTGCTGACATTACACCCTGTGAGGCACTAGAATGTTAACAGTCATGACCATTTCATCCCACCGGGTACCCATTCACTGCTGAGTGAACAGAGGCAATTTTGAACAAACGCACTTGCCTAAGGTGAGACCACATGTGTTGGTTGTGGGTCAGGACTGAAGTCCTAGAAACTATCAAGAGTCCAGCTGCTAGTCACCAATCCAAGGACTGTCTGTGACCAACTCATTTGTGATACCACCATTCTCGGCTATACAAAAAGACATTATGTTGAGGGTAGTTGAACATGGAATAATAGACATCAACCCTTGCTCCTGTACTTATCATGTTCATGTATAATGCTCAAACTATAGCCTGGTGTCTTGCAATTTGATATGTATCATGATATGGACTGACAATACTAGTGGTGGTCCGATTAAAGGAAATAATCGTAGATTGGTCGCTGTGAGTAAACAACCTAGCAATTGATAATCAAACACTTGTTTGCATTAACGATTGTTTTACAAGGTTGGTTTTGTCTGTCATTGAATTTACATTTCATAAGCACAACGAGCTTGTTCCAAGTCATGATCAAATTTAACTTAAAGACACCAGGAAATTGGTTCCTAACATACTAGTCCTCCTTTAAAAATGTGAAATTTGAAAATGCAATTTGTGCAGTTTGCAAAAAAACCCAAAGAACTACATGTTTATTCTTTATTTTTTTGTGGGGCGGTGGGGTAGTCTAGTGGTTAAAGTGTTGGCTCGTCACGCCAAAGACCTGGGTTCAAATCCCCACATGGGTACAACGTGTGAAGCCCATTTCTGGTGTCCCCGCCGTGATGTTGCTGGAATGTTGCTAAAAGCGGCGTAAAGCCAAACTCAGTCAGTCAGTTTATTTTTTTGTGCATTAACAAAACATAACAGGAAAATTTGACAAATGACACTAACCAATCATTTTCGA